TTTATATTTATTCCCCCCAACCCCCAAAGAGTTGAGGTCTCGCTATGTTTCCTGGGCTGGCCTCAAGCTCTTGGGCTTAAGCAGTCTTCTTGCCTCAGCCTCCCAAGTAGCTGAGACTTCAGGCTCATGCCACCAGACCATGTTGATTTTTTAGTGGATTCCTTAGGATTTTCTGTATACAAGATCTTGTCACCTACAAATACAGTTTTACTTCTTCCTTTCCAATCTGGGTGTTTTTTATTTCTTTCTCTTGCTTACTTGCTCTGGCTTGAACTGCCAGTGCGTATAACTAGAAGTGGCAAGAGAAGACAGCTTTTTCTTGTACTTGTTCTTAGAGGGAACACATTCAATCTTTCAACATTAAATATGAGTTTTTTGTAAATGTCCTTTATCAGGTTTAGGAAATTCTTTTCTATTCCTACTTCGTTGAGTATTTTTATCATGATGGAATATTGCATTTTGCTAAGTGCTTTTGGTGCATCTATTGTGATGATCATGTGGTTTTTGTTATTCATTCTGTTGATACATTATATTACATTAATTGTTTTCCTAATGTTATACCAACATTGCTTTCCTCTGCTAAATCTCACTTGGTCATGGTTTATAATTCTTTTTATGTGTTGCTGGATTCAGTTAGCTGGTGTTTTGTTGAGGATTTTTACATCTGTATTCATAATATATATTGGTTTGTGGTTTTCTTTTTTTGTAATGGTTTTATTTGGTGTTGCTATCAGGATAATACTGGTCTCATAGGGTGAGTTGGGAAATGTTTCCACTCAGTTTGTTGGAAGAATTTGTAAAGAAATGGTATTTTTTTAATGTTTGGTAGAATTCACCAGTGAAGCCATCTGAGCCTGGGCTTTTTTTGTGTGGGTAATTTTCCTAAATTACTGATTGGTTTCTTTACGTGTTAGGTCTATAGGTCTATTCAGATTTTCTGTTTCTTCCTGAGTCAGTTTTAGCAGTTCGTAGCTTTCAAGGAATTTGCCCATTTCATCTGAGTTGTCTAATTTATTGGCAAGTATCATTCATAGTAGTCCCTTTAATCCTTTTTATTTCTTTAAGATCGGTGATAATGTCCAGAGGGAGTGACTTTAGAGCTTAGGTTTTAAGGGTATAGGTACAGGGCATGTAGTGAATTGGGAAGAGGAAGAGCAATTCAGGAAGAGAAAAGGACACGGGCAGTGATAGAGAAGCAAGAGAAAACATGACATGTTTGGGAAGCTGCATGTAGTTCACCATGACTGGAGTCTAGGGGCACAAGCAATACTGACAAGAGTTGATATCAGAAAAACAGGCAGATGATGGGTGAAGACATCTCTTTGACTGTGCTGGTCATTTGTGCTTTATCCTGTAGGCAGTGAAGAATTACATATTTTGAGCAGGTGAGTGACTTGATCAAATTTACCTACTAGAAAGTTCATTGACAATGGAGTACACATAGATGGGGTAGTTAAGGGGCAAGAGGAATTATAGGTAGGGAAGCCTGGTCTGTTTCTTATAGATTTTACCAAAGATTGCAGAAAGTAACCAGCTTCCTCTATCATTCTGACATTTTTCTGTCAAGTCCCCTAAAGGTCAGTAGGCCCATAGGTAGTCTGAGTCTTACACTAAAACATCAGATAGTTTAACCAGCTAATTAGCTACTTATGTAAGCCTTGCTAATTTCTTAACCCTTTTCTGCCTTAATTTAATCATTTATAACACTTCCTTAAAGCTTGCTTCATTATATAAAGAAAGAGAGTCCCCCTCTCCACCAGCATTCTGCTTGACTTATGAAACTACTCCTTGATATAATCACTGTGGAAAGGAAACTGAAGTACCAATATTGGATATGCTAAGACACATACCCATTCCTGCAGCCAGGTGGTTGGGTAGTGTGATTGCCAGTCCTGCCTGAGTCCCAGAGAGAGGGGCAGTTGAGATGAGATATGAGGGCCTGACCTAAGAATGTCTGTAGTACATTCATTAGTATTTATTGGATGTTTTTCTTCCTTACCCTCTCATAAACGTAAAGAAGTTTATAATGAAATAAAATAGTTACACTCCTTTCTTATGTCTTTTGTCTCTTAGGTCTTTCCGTCTTTAGGTAGATGGAAAGTATTGTTATATTCAAGGAAAAGATAATGTTAGTATTATTCATATAACCTTACTTATTAGATAATTTGGGGAACTGGCTCATAATTTTTCTCACACTTGGATAGTTTGAAAGTAAACATTCAAAACATTATTATAAAAATTGTTTTACATGTTTAAATATTTGAGAATGTTAAAGTAGAAAGGGACCTTGGAGGTTAACTAGTTCAGCCTCATCATTTTTATAGACGTTTTGATATTTTTTATTTTGTCTCCATATTTTTTCCTTTTCATTCTATATTTCTTCTCTTATCTTTTATGTGTAAGGGAGTCCAACATAGTCCTGATGTTTTTGTGAATTGAATTTTAAAATTTCTATTAATTTACAAAGGAATAGGAGATGTTATATATGAATTCTAAGAATTAAGTTGCTTTTTAATGGATTTTATTTCTGTAGTTTAATTGTTTTCAACTAATTAAAAAGTATTCGTGCACTTTTCAAAAATTAAAAATTGCTTTTCATAGTCCTTAGGTATATTTTCCTCCCTTTAAAGTTCCATCTTCCTAACATGAAGAAAATAAAAAGACAATTCTTTCTAAGCCAAGTGGATCTGGCTGTTCTATCCAGCTTCCTGAGCCTCAGATCTGAACCACCTACGTAAGATCTCATGTTCTCTCTCTGGTTCTTCCTTGCATCTATTTTCTTAGCATCATTTGTATTTTTGCATCTGCTTCCTGAAGATGAAGAGCTTAGAAATATCTGAGAGTGAGTTGTATGTTAATCCATTTACAACATCTTGTCAGTATAACATTCTGCTTTGTATCTTTGTTTAATGAGAAGTTTCTCCTTTCTGTATGTACATAAAAGTATACTGTTCTAGCATGTTTTAAAGTCATTTGAAGATCCTGTTCTCACAAACGCAGGGACATGGTAACATTTGCATTTTTAATTCCTTTTACCAGAATGGGAGACCATGACCGAGAATGAGGAGGTGACATCAAAGCCAAGTATTTCTCAAAGGGCAGACTCTCAGAAAGGAACATCAAAAAGACTTCAAGGAGGTGTTCCCCGGTTCCTTGATTTTGAGGAAGAGTGTGAATGGCAAGTTTTGTCAAGGCAGTGGGAAAATGAAACAGGGGAAAGGACAGATATAGTGAAGAAAGGTTCCCTTTGTGAACGAAACAGGAAGAAAAGGACTCCACCAGAAAAACGAAGCCAAAAATGGAAGGAATTTGGAGAAAGCTTGACTTTAGGTTCAGCTTTTTCTGAAAGTTTAGTAGGTACTGAAGGAAAGAAGTTTTTTAAATGTGATATATGTTGTAAACATTTCAATAAAATCTCCCATCTTATAAACCATCGGAGAATCCACACTGGTGAGAAACCTCATAAATGTAAGGAGTGTGGAAAAGGCTTTATTCAGCGCTCAAGCCTTCTCATGCATTTACGGAACCATTCTGGGGAGAAACCTTATAAATGTAATGAGTGTGGGAAAGCGTTTTCTCAAAGTGCTTACCTTCTAAACCATCAGAGAATCCACACTGGGGAGAAACCTTACAAATGTAAGGAGTGTGGAAAAGGCTTCTATAGACACTCAGGCCTTATTATACATTTAAGGCGCCATTCGGGGGAGAGACCTTATAAGTGTAATGAGTGTGGGAAAGTTTTCTCTCAGAATGCTTACCTCATTGACCATCAAAGGCTCCACAAAGGGGAAGAACCTTATAAATGTAATAAGTGTCAGAAAGCTTTCATTCTGAAGAAGAGCCTCATTCTGCACCAGAGAATCCACTCTGGGGAGAAACCCTATAAATGTGATGAATGTGGAAAAACCTTTGCTCAGACCACTTACCTTGTTGACCATCAGCGACTCCACAGTGCAGAGAACCCTTACAAGTGTAAAGAATGTGGAAAAGTTTTTATTCGAAGTAAAAGCCTCCTCTTACACCAGAGAGTCCACACAGAAAAGAAAACCTTTGGTTGTAAAAAATGTGGAAAGATTTTCAGTTCTAAGTCAAACCTCATTGATCATAAGAGGATGCACAGCAGAGAGAAACCTTATAAATGCGGTGAATGTGGGAAAGCCTTCACTCAGAGTGCTTACCTCTTTGACCACCAGAGACTCCACAATGGGGAGAAACCCTATGAATGTAATGAATGTGGGAAAGTTTTTATTCTGAAGAAAAGCCTCATTTTACATCAAAGGTTCCATACTGGAGAGAATCTCTATGAATGTAAAGATTGTGGCAAGGTCTTTGGCTCTAACAGAAACCTCATTGATCATGAGAGACTCCACAATGGGGAGAAGCCATATGAATGTCGAGAGTGTGGGAAAACCTTTATCATGAGCAAAAGTTTCATGGTTCATCAGAAACTCCATACACAAGAAAAAGCCTACAAATGTGAGGATTGTGGGAAGGCTTTCAGTTACAATTCAAGCCTGCTTGTACATCGGAGAATCCACACTGGGGAAAAGCCCTTTGAATGTAGTGAGTGTGGAAGAGCTTTCAGTTCAAACAGAAACCTTATTGAACATAAGAGAATCCACAGTGGTGAGAAACCCTATGAGTGTAATGAGTGTGGCAAATGCTTCATTCTGAAGAAGAGCCTCATTGGACATCAGAGGATTCACACAAGGGAAAAATCTTATAAATGCAATGACTGTGGGAAAGTCTTTAGTTACCGCTCAAACCTTATAGCCCATCAGAGAATCCACACTGGCGAGAAGCCTTATGCATGTAATGAGTGTGGGAAGGGCTTTACTTACAACAGAAACCTTATTGAACATCAAAGAATTCACAGTGGGGAAAAAACCTATGAATGTCATGTATGTAGAAAAGTCCTTACCTCTAGTAGAAATCTTATGGTACATCAAAGAATCCATACTGGAGAGAAACCTTATAAATGTAATGAGTGTGGAAAAGACTTTAGTCAGAATAAAAACCTTGTTGTACATCAGAGAATGCACACTGGGGAAAAGCCTTATGAGTGTGAGAAGTGTAGGAAATCCTTTACTTCTAAGAGAAATTTAGTTGGCCACCAGAGAATCCACACAGGAGAGAAACCTTATGGGTGTAATGATTGTAGTAAAGTTTTTAGGCAAAGAAAAAACCTTACTGTACATCAGAAAATCCATACAGATGAAAAACCTTGTGAATGTGATGAGTCTGAAAAAGAATGCTCTCAGACTTCAAACATTTCATCTTCAACAAAAAATCCGTACTGTGGAGGAATTCTCTTGGCTACAAAATACCAGTGAGTCCAAGATAGAGAGCCAGAAAATCTAGTGTCATATGTAAAATGGAGTAGCATTCCTGCCTATTTAAGTAACTGCTGGAGGAGTGATAAATAGTTCTTCTAAGGAAAAAAAACCTTAAGATCAACCCTTTTATAGACGAGTGAGTTGCATATATTTAATAGAAGAAAGTTAATCTAGACTTCTAAGTCTACAAAAACATAATTCAAATCTAGTAATGTAGTTGTAGATGATAGCAAAAATGTCTTTGTATTAAAAAGTAGACATGTTTCTGAAAATATGTAACATGTACATTTTAAATATAGCATCACTGCTACAGAAGGTCTATATAGACAGCGTGATTCAGAATGTCAGATGTGGAGTTGGTGGACAGTAGTCTGCTGTTTGAAGACAACCTAAGAAGAGCACTGGATTTGGAATCAAAAGACCTAGGTTTGTGTTTGGCTCTTTCCCTTACTAGCTATATGATTTTATTAAGACAGCCTCTAAGCCTCAGTTTCTCTGTCAGTCAAATGTTGACATAATGCCTACCTCACAGGGTTGTTGTGAGGGTTAAGTGAAAGGATATTTGTGAAAGAACTTTGTGAAATCAATTGTCAATAAAGTTGGATAAAAGAGGTATGGTCACAGTCTGAACATGACATAATGTAGGTTTGTTCATTAAGTCAATATTAGAATGAAGGGGATTCCATGAACCTCAAAAATATTCATTTTTATAAAAGGAAGTATAGTGAATAGCAAACTTTGGAATTTAGTACTTTAAGAAAAATTTTTTAAAATTCATCTTTAAAATGTCTAAGGGAGTTAATATCATAGCTGATAATACCTAGCTTGTGTTTATGGAAAAATATTACGGCCAGCCATTAACAATGATGCCAAGGAAAACAATTTATTTTCCAACCTTTGAATTTGAAACTTAACAGATGTAGAGTGTTAAAATGAAAGGACAGTCCTATGTTGCTTTCTTTGTTCATAGGGAAAATTCCTTAACCCCAACAACTGAGGTGATGATCCTTACCACAGTCATTCTCGTATTGTATTTTATTTTAAATTGATGCATAATAGATGTACATGCTTCAGGGTACATATGATCATTCTCAGTTCTAATCAGCATTTCATCATTGCTGTCATGTGATAGCTTATAATTCATGAAACAACATTCTGTCCCAGCACTTAATATACTACATAAAATTTTCAGCCCAAGCAAAGCCCTTCAAGTTCTGATTAAGCCAATGTAGAATCTACTTCTGGGCAGTCAGTGCCCATTGCCCCTGTTAACCAACCATTCATTCAGCCTGTGACCTTTTGTATATTTATAGGTTTAATTCAGCCTGTATTGAGCTGATAATTTTTTGGACTATAAATACCTGAATATCAGGATTATGTTTTCCAATACTAGTAATGTCAAAGTGGTGTGTTAATTATAATAAATATTATTAATTCCTAGTTATTCATTAGAATGAAAGGTACGTAAGAGTGAAAATTGAAAAGGGACCAAGGTTTAGTCTTAAGACCTGGATATGAGTTAGATTCTGCCACTTGCCTTCACTTCTTGGAGCCTTGATTTCCTCATCTGTTAAACAGGAGGAAGAATATCTACCTCACAAAGTTATGAGGTAATGAATATGAAAATGCTTCATATCCATGCTATAGAAGAATCACCCCAGATTATATAATAATTACAAAGGGACATGTGTACTTTAACCATGGAGAAAGCTATCTTTTACTTCTTAACCAAGTAACAAAATGTAACATTGCTAAGACTAAGACAGCCCACATAATGTGCCTCCTTGTGTGATGTAATAAGCCAAAAATTGTTCAACCTGAATTTAATCAAGCTTCTCAGACTGAATTGCCAGTTTACAGGAAATACAGGAGACAGAAGAACAGAATAAAAGAAACCATGAGAAACAGACAAATCTAGAACATGGGATATCATGTAAGAAAACACCCCTGGATTCTTCAGAATGTCATTATGATGGAGAAGAGAGGGGAGTGATAATTGTTGAAGCTGGATGAATGTACTGGGAGTTTATTAGTGTTCTCTGCTTTTGTGTATGTATGAAAATTTTCATAATGAAAGATATAAAATGTGGATGAGGGGGGTTGTTTTGAAAAGATACTAAAAAGCCATTGGATACTAGGAACCAGAAATAGACTCATGCGAATTCCCAGTTGATTTTTGACATGTGCAAAACCAATCAATGGAGGAGGGATAGCCTTTTCAACAAATGCAGCTGGAGCAATTGTATATCCACTGGCAAAACAAAAAAACAAAAAACAATTTCAGGACCTAGGTCTAAGGGAAGAAATCTTAGATGACATCAGAAGCATGCTCCATAAAAAGAAAAATGTTGAATTGGACCTCATCAAAATTAATTTGCTCTGCAAAGAGCCTTTTATTGAGAATGAAAAGACATTACAGACTGGGAGAAAATATTTGCAAAGCATATATCCAACAAAGGATTTGTATCTAGACTGCAGAAAGAACTCTCAAAACTTAACAGTTAAAAAATAATTCCAGTTAGAAGATGAGCAAAAGACATGAACAGACATTTTACCGAAGTATAGATGGCAAATAAGCAAATGAAAAGATGTTTAACATCATTAGTCATTAGGGAAATGCAAATTAAAATCATGAGATACCACCATGTACCTATCCCAGTACCTGAAATATAAATAATAGCAATAACACCAATGCTGACAAGGATGTGGAGACACTGGATTGCTGGGAATGTAAAATGGTATAGCCACTCTGAAAAATAGTTTGGCAGTTTCTTATAAAACCAAGTATGTACACATCTTATGCCCCAGTAATTGTATTCCTGAGCACTTATCCCAGAGAAATGAAGACTTACGGTCACACAGAAACCTGTACATGAATGTTCATAGCAGCTTCATTTGTAATAGTCAAAACTTGTAGGCAACCCAAATATCCTTCATTAGGTGTTTTAAACACACTGGTGTATCTATACCATGGAATACTTATTATCTGCAATAAAATGTAATGACTTATTGATAGCCACAACTCCTTAAATAAATTTCAAGGGGATTAATGCTGAGTGAAAATACCAGTCTCAAAAGGTCATATACTGTATGATTCCATTTATACAACATTCTCAAAATGACAAAACTATAGAAATGAAAACTGGGATTAGTGGTTGCCTGAGGTTAGGGATGGTGGGAGGGAGAAGAGGGAGAGGGTTGGATGTAACTATATTAAAGAGGTAGCACCAGGGAGGTCTTTGTGGTGATGGAACACTTGTGTATTTTGATTGTGGTGGTGGTTACGCAAAGAAATTATTTTTATGTTTTAAAAATAACATAAAAGTATATACACACACTGTACCAATGTTGATATCCTGGTACTGATAAGAATAATTATGTCACATGTAACCATTGGGGGAAATGGGTGAAAGGTACTATCTTCTTTGCAACTTCCTGTGAATCTATCATTTAAAAATAAAAGGAAAAAAAGAAAAAAAACCCCAAACTAAAGAGCCATAACTAAATACAGTGTGTGAAACTGATTTGGGGAAAAAAAAAAATGAAAATATGTGTTAGGACAATAGAAGAAATCTGAATATGACTGGATATTAGATGGTAGTAGGGAATTACTGTTAATTTTCTTACCTGTGATGATGATGGTGTTAGTTTGAAGAATATTCTCATTTTTAAGGGATGCATGTTGAAGTATTTGGAATGAAGTGTTCTGGTATTTATAACTTTTAAAAAATGCTTTTAAGTATGTATAGAGAAATAAGGCAAGCACAGCAGAATGTTAATTGCTGCGTCTAGATGGAGGATAACGGGTATTCAATGTACCATTCTTTCAACTTTTCTGTATCGTTTGATATTTTTGAAATAAAACGTTTGGGGGGAAATTATCAGGGCTTTCTACAGAGTAATGCTTTGTAGCGTCAGGCTCCCGGTAGCGCCTCGCCTGAGTGCCCCTGCCCAGCCAGGGGATGCGCCCCTCCCTGAGGCACAGAGCCTCTACCCGCACGGTCCTTCTAAGCTCTTCTGCACCATCCCTGGTCCGGCATGACTTTGGACATCCATCGAGAAGAAAGCACCTCCGAGATTCCTAGAGAGGCCGGTCTGGCGACTTGGGGAGCCGGAAGCCCATTCCAAGGTACTTCCTGTCCGGTCATTGTTCTCGCGCCGGTTGGAACAGGGGTCACGGTCCGCCAGCCTCTTGCTCCAGAGCCGGTGAGCTCGGGCCGAGCCTCTCCGCTGCACACGGTGAGCGGGGTCAGCGGGGGTGGGCATGAATGTTGGGGGAGCAGGAGGGGTTATCCCTGGGACGGCGGCTCGAGGAGCGGCCCGCTACGTCCTTCCCTCGGGAACACCAGCCATGTCTTGGGGTGGCTCAGTGCCCCGCCACTTTGGAATTCCGCCTACCGCCTACCGGGGGCCTGGCTTGGGAGAGGATGGATGCAGACAGGCCAGGGGGCAGGCAGATCCCGGGGAGAGGGCCACGAGTGGCCTATAGGTGGAGAGGATGGAGTGCCACGTTTGGAAATAGGGAAAGGACATAGAAAGGGAAGCCTTTGATAGAAGGCTCTGTGCCATCAGGGGCTGGAGGTCCATTTGAATCCGAATAGAAGTCTGATGATAATACTCAAGAGTAGACGATGTCACGTGTGCAAAAGGTGGAACTAAAACTAGTCATGGAAAGAATAATCCTCTAAATCTAAGATTTGTCACAGGAATGGAAGTATTGCTTTACTCAGGAAATTCAATGTATACAGTAACTTGCCAGTAAGTGAACATAGGGAAAAGAATATGACCGCTTCAATAGCTGCAAAAGCAGATTTAATGCAATTTATCACCTTTTTCTAATAAAACATCCAAAGGGGAATAGAAAAATTTCAGTCTCTTCATAATCAACCTAAATAGTAAGATTATTTCATCCAGAAATTAGAAACAAACAAAAACCTTGCTGGCTTAGCTGTGATAAAGGGTTATTGTTATTGTTGGTGTGGATTGGTGTGGTGCTTTTGGAAAGCAATTTGACAGTACATTTCAACCATAAAATCCTTGAACCAGTAATCCTGTTTATTCTAAAAGAATAATTCAGCAAAAGAAAAAAATTATTTGCACAGAAAAAAATTTTAAGTAATTATTAAGAAAATAAACTGGGAACATTGAAAGGTCCTTTTACTAAAAGAATGGTTCATAAATAGGGTATGGTTAAGTAAATGATAATGTAAATTATTTATTTTTTTAGAGACAGTCTTACTCTGTCACCAAGGCTGGAGTGCAGTGGCACAATCATAGCTCAATGCAGCCTCCAACTCCTGAGCTCAAGTGATCCTCCTGCCTCAGCCTCCAGAGTAGCTGGGATTACAGGTGTGCACCATCATGCCTGGCTAATTTAAAAAAAAAATTTTTTTAGAGATGGGGTCTTGCTATGTTGCCCAGACTGCCATAATTTAGGATACTGTGCTAGAATGAGGTAGCTTTATATGTACTATATTGAAAGATTGACAAGACTGTGAAATATGGAAATTGAGTTCAAAAATCAAACAATGCAGATTGCTGAACAGTGTACAAGTGTGATGATCTTAAGTATGTATTTGAAAAATAAGAAATATGTGTGAAGGTGTACATGTATTTATGTAAATGCAGAGAAAAGGAACTAGGAGTCCCATCTAGACTTATAACTAATTGCTCAATGTGTGTGTGTTGGACATATATTTAGTTCTATATATTTCTGTATTGCTTGATCTTTTTTTAGTGAAAGTGAAAATTTATCAGCCCTGTAGGTTATTGTGTAGCAAGTAAAAATAAGCATGAGGTAACATGAAAAGAATTTTTTTAGTCTTAAAAATAATACTTCATTTCACAGGACATTTGGAAGATATGGAAAATGTAAAGATCAAACAAATAAATGAAAAGAACCTCAAAACTACCTGTAATTACACCACCCAAGGATAACCACCCATTCCTAACATGTTGATATATGGACTCCAAGTCTTTTTCTTGGGATTCTTTTGTTCACACTATTTGTATCCTGAGCAATAAAGAAGTATTTGTGTTATAATATCCCTTTTTTAAAAACGATAATGATAATGGTGAAAATATGTATCTCTTACGGTCAAAACCAAAAAGTTTATAAAATCATAATTATTGTTACTGTGGTTAGAATAAAAGAAATATCTTCAATTTTACAATGTATAGCAGTTATCTCTTTGGAGGCAGACCAGGTGTTATTTTTCTTAATCATTTTTGTTATTTTTCAAGTTTTTAGATAAAAATATGTTAACTTTTTTTTTTTTTGAGACAGAGTCTTACTTTGTTGCTCGGGCTAGAGTGCCGTGGTGTCAGCCTAGCTCACAGCAACCTCAAACTCCTGGGCTCAAGCGATCCTACTGCCTCAGCCTCCCGAGTAGCTGGGACTACAGGCATGCGCCACCATGCCCGGCTAATTTTTTTATGTGTATATTTTTAGTTGTCCAGATCATTTCTTTCTATTTTTTAGTAGAGACAGGGTCTCGCTCTTGCTCAGGCTGGTCTCAAACTCCTGACCTGGAGCGATCTACCCACCTCGGCCTCCCAGAGTGCTAGGATTACAGGTGTGAGCCACCACGCCCGGCCATATGTTAACTTTTAATGAGCAAAAAATCACTGAATGTTACATAAAGCTGTTTGGAATGTGATTATTGTGGGAAGAAATTACGTATTTACAGTTCAACCCCTTCCAGCCTCCTTCTTCCGGGGAGGAGTAGAGCATTTTTTGTGCTATAGTTGCTGCTGGCCAGGCACTGGTGAAATTGCCAGTTGAGTGGCATCCAGGCAAATCTCTGCTTGGTGCTAACAGTGTTTTCTGATTTCTCAGTAGACAGTACTCATCTTGGCCCTGAGAAGAAACTTAAGAAGAAGCTTTTGAAACTTTAGATGGGGCTTGATCTCTGCTGGGCAGCTCTTAGCTATAAGTGTTCCTCTTCTGAGCTGAGAAGATGACTACAGAATTGAGAGAAGCCATGGCCCTAGCCCCTTGGGGCCCAGTGAAGGTGAAAAAGGAGGAGGAAGAGGAGGAAAACTTCCTAGGTCAGGCATCCAACCAACAAATGCACTCTGAAAACATCACAGTCTGGGCCCCAGAGGAGGGTCTTCAGACAGGCCTTGATGTATCAGAAGAGGAGGAAAAGGTAAATGGTAGCCTGGGTGGAAGGAGGGAGCAGAGACCTGAAGACCTCAAGTAGTTAAAGAGGGTACTCTGCCCCTGTACTTCCACACTTTGACTCTTACTTCCTGGTTAGGGCTCTGGCCATTAGTACTTTGTAATGTAATAGAAACGTTCCCTTCTGACTGATGTGACATTCAGTACTTCTCTAAACCAGTGGTTCTCACACTTTGCTACACAGAACCTGGGAAACTTTTTATAAAATGTTGATGTCCATGCCGTACTCTATACTAATTAAATCAGAATCTGGGGGTGGCATCTGGGTATCTGCACCTGATACTCTTCAGATGATTCCAATCAGGGTATAACAACTGTAACCAGTGCGTCTCAAACTTAATGTACATAGGAATCACCTGGGAGTTCTTGTTAAAATGCTGATTCTGATTCAGGAGGTCTGAGATTCTGTATTTCTCACAAACTCCCAGGTGATGCATGTACTGCTGATCTACAGACCACATTTTCAGTAATGAGGCTATACCCTGTGCTGTGTCCTTAATGGTTTAACATACTCCTTACCATTACTAGTCAAATGAGGGCAGAGGTTCTCCAGACCCTACTGTAGTAAAATGATCAGAACCTTGTTTCTTTGATCTTTAGACCCCAGAAAAGTGTACTCTGAAATATCTCCCCATGTGCTCTCTCCTCTTGTCATGTACTTATTGCCAAGTTAGGTTGGATTCTGGAGTGAGCAATGAGGTGAGATCAAAGTGATAGGCAAGAAGGTGGTAGGCTTGCTTTTCTGCCCAGCTTACCTTGGGGGTTGGGAGAGACTCTGGCTTCCTTTTCCATATTTAAAAAATGTTTTGTGGCCTCCGGAAATAGGTACCTATCTTCTGATCCTCAAAGCTGTAATTACACCCACCCCCACCACCAGTTTTCTCATAAGCATGTGCCTGCTTGTCTTCAGGGTCAGAACATGTTCTGGGACATGGCGGTAGTCCTGAAAGCAACACAGGAGGCACCTGCTGCTTCACCCCTTGGCAGCTACTCATTACCAGGGACCCTGGCCAAGAGCGAGATACTGGAGACTCATGGGAACATGAACTTGCTAGGTAAGGTCCAACTCCCTGATTCAGAATCTTACCATTGGGGTTTCTCAAAATCTTTTCCGGGATTGGTGGGCATCTATCTGGTCTCCTACCTTGAGCAACACAAAGTATCGAGGTGTTGAAAGTATGAGGGAGAGCTGGATAGAAGATTGCTGAGAGATGCCTATGCAGTTGTCATGGGAAATGGCTTACTTTGCACACAGGCTTAAGACACCAGACAAACAGATGAATTCCAAATTCACTTCTTAATCATATTTATCGTTCAGTGAGTTTCATGTCTGCACGCACGTGTAGACACATGTCCTCTTCATATACTTTGTGGTTATCATATGTTGGTGTGCCTTCAAGAAAAGCTAGTCAAGGTAGGAAGGGTCAACTTTTGTGGTGATTTTGAGGAAATACCCTGGAGATGTTCTGTTTTCATAGATCTTTTTGCAAATTCTAGAGGATTTTGAACAACTATGTCAATGATAATGTTCAAAAATTAGGTCTTGGTGGAATGTACTAATGGCTTATCACCTGGTTCTCTCTAAACTGGGACTCAGGAAAAGGTAATATGTTCAAAATGTCTTGATTAGTGGTGGCAGAAGCTTGCTGTGGAGGAGTGACACACAACTGACGGTTAAGAATGCAGTAGCCATGGGCGCTGTGCTGTGGAAGCAATTACCTGGATGGCTGCCAGGGCCCCTTCTTATAGGCCTGCCTGATACAGGCCTGTGTCAATATTTTGAACCCACTCTCCTCCCTAGCCAATTCCTCAGGCATTTGGGGACCAAGTCACTTTCTTAAACCAGTGATGTGGAGATTAGGATCTCCACCATTCATTTTCTTGCCTTTAATTATTCCTCAAACTCCCAGCAGGTCTGTTCCCCATTTTCTGCTTTCTGTTCCATTCCCTCTGGTATATTCCCCTTGAGTTACTTCTTTTCAGTCTCCTCACTGTATCAGCTGTTCACAGTCTTTAACTCCATGGCTATACCCCTGCTTGAGGAACAAGCTGCATTTTCCTGTTTTGCCTCTTACCTCCAGACCCTGTTTTCCCCCCAAGACTTAACTTTTTGTGCTGCCAGCCATTTCCGTAGCAGCAGGTGATGGCAGGAGTGAGCTCTAGGAGTGAGAGAGAGATTTGAGTGTGGTTGCTGCCCTGTCTCTGATGACCGTGATTTTGAGTAAGTCCTTTCTCTCTGTGGATCTCTATTTCCTGTTCTACGGACTGGATGCATTCATCTGGTACAGGATTTGTTGGTGGCCTATTTCCTGTGTGCCAGGCAGTGTGATAGGTGCTGGAGGTATGGAAATGAATTAAGACACAGCCTTTTTATATTTTAGCTCCCACACAACTGAAGAAGTTTCATCTTCATGATGAAATCATATAATATACATGAAAGTGCTTCGGAAATAGTGATGTGTTACTGGGTTTTTAATGTCTGAGGGAGTTTTAACTATAGTTTCCTATATTTTAATTGGTGTTGAATTTATTAAAGTTTATTCCTTTAAGAACCAATTTTTAAGGCTTTAAGCATAACTTATTTTTATTTAATCCATGTATCTAGAAATATTTCTATAAAAGTGAGAACATTTGTACTTCTTCAATTCATGTTTGGTTAAGCTTCAAGTTTTACAGATTAAATTTTATAAACATTTAATTCCACCTAGATATCAAATTTTCTTACATGAAACATAATTGCAAATTTAATATATCTAATTCTTTAAAACATTTCAAACACCTAACTAGGCAGACTTACAAATCTTATAAATAAAATCTTGATAAACACAGAGCTTTTGTAAATCTGATGAATTGGAATTATATGTTTAGTAAATCAAATTAACTTTCTTTTTTTTTTTTTTCTGAGACAGAGTCTCACTCTCTTGCCCGGGCTAGAGTGCCGTGGCATCAGCCTAGCTCACAGCAACCTCAAACTCCTGGGCTCAAGCGATCCTTCTGCCTCAGCCTCCCGAGTAGCTGGGACTACAGGCATGTGCCACCATGCCTGGCTAATTTCTTCTATGTATTTTTAGTTGTGTTGTCCAGCTAATTTCTTTCTATTTTTTTTTTTTAGTAGAGACGGGGTCTCGCTCTTGCTCAGGCTGGTCTTGAACTCCTGAGCTCAAACGATGTGTCCGCCTCGGCCTCTCAGAGTGCTAGGATTACAGGCGTGAGTCACTGCGCCCAGCCAAATTACCTTTCTTATTTTGGAATATAGTCACCAGCTAAGATAGCAGGTTCATGTAGCATTTCAGATCTCTTCTTTTAAAAAAAAGGACAAAATTAGCTGGGTGTAGTGTTACACACCTGTAATCCCTGCTACTCAGGAGGCTGAGGCAGGAGGTTCACTTGAGCCCAGGAATTTGAGGTTGCAGTGAGCTACTATGATGCCACTGTACTCTGGCCTAGGCAGCAGAGTGAGACTCTGTCCCAAAAAAAAGGAAAAGAAAAGTATTGCTATGTATATGTTCTAGTTGATCACAAATTAGTTTTTAGTATTTTTTTTAGTATTTCTGTACTTATTTTATTTTTTTCTAGAGTTGCATTAATTCTACATGAGGAAAAAAAAAAGAAATAATACCATTTCAAACAGGCTAAGATTATATAGGTCCTGGGTTATTGACCAGTTAATCTTTTCACCCAAGGAGATTTGAACTTGAGCACACAGAACTGGCCTTATTTCTCTTTTCTTAGACACTGGGCATTTGTGAAGACCCTAGGTCTTTCTTCATCCCTGTGATGAACTGTTACATAACCACATGCATTAAAACCTTCTAGGCTACAGTTGTACCTGATTCTGTACTGGTTTTGACATAGACATTATCAAATATAAGGAATTGTTTTCATTACTGGCACTAATCAGTTCAGTAGTTTCCATTGGCCTTCATCTTTCATGTCTTTCTAACATTCTAAATCTCCCAGTAAGGAGGATAGGAGTGAAGGTCAAGGAGACAGTACAGCTGCGAACTAAAGTATTCTTGGGCTCCGTTCCTGTTGGAGAGATGCTGGGTACGGGGATGGCAGGCCCTGGTGTCAGTGATAGGGAGCAAAGGAGAAGAAGGTGAAAAGAAGCAGGAAAGGAGATGTTAAAAGGGAAAAAAATAAAGTGAGATGGAAGTGATGAAGAATAGTAGAGAAAATAGAGGAAAGCAATGTGCAAAAGAAAATTAGAGGAGACATGAAACTGTATATGGAAAAATTCAGAATATTTCACAAAAAATTGAAAAAAAAAATAAAAACCAGGAGAGGAGAAAGATGAAAGGGCAGTAGTGGAAAGAGGTAGCAGGAAAAAACAAGAAAGAGAAAGAAGAGAAGAACATATAAGAGCCGTTAAACTACAGGGAGGAAAACAGTGGATTAATAAAAAGAGACATCAGAACAGTAGGAATAGAAATAATCAGAAAAAGTTTAGCATTTCAGATATTTGTTGTTTTCGCATTTGTAGCTCTACAGTATCCAGTACTTGGGCCCTTCTTTTCTGTGATACTTCCCGTCTTGTCTGAATGATTGTGGTGGAATTTCAGATTACCATGGCCTTCACCACCAATCAAACCAGGCTATTTTCTTGCTCCCAATATTGCTTTGTGCCACCCCAACATCCCTGTCCCACCCCACTCATGTCATTAGTTGGAGAGTCGCCCTGGCCTGTGCCAGTGAGATATTTCCCTCTCGTGGATGCTGGATTTCCCCTGCAGCGTGACTTGTGGCTCACAGCTCCACTGCTCACTTCTAAGCTGATGACACCGTGGAAATACCTCCCTCTGCAGGCTTGCTGACCGCTCCAACTGGCCCTCATTTCACTTGTTTTATTATCTGAGTAGTTTTCCTGAACTTAGTAATTCACCAATACTTATTAAGGGCTAAGTCTGAAGATGAACATAAGGAACTACGATGTTACAGGAGGACCCCTTTTTGATGCCATTAGGCCTCTGAGGCAAGGTATAACATCCAGAGATTAATCAGAGTCTTAAAACTTCAGGATATTTGGGTGTTCTTATATTTTCTGGCATTGCAGAGCAGGCTATGCCATAATTCAACAAGGTCAGCTTTCCTTGACACAATGCTAAGCAGTTCCTTTTACACAAGGGTTACTTAGTGTTTATTACGTTCAATTCCTTCCTTAATTTCCCCTAGTGTAGCTGAGGGCTGTCTGTCACCATAGCAACTCTCATACCCTAAGGGCTCATCTTTCCTCCTGGCCCCCTACAGGAGCAGCATCAGTCAGGCTGAAGTGACAGCACACACTCAGAGCACTCACTGTGTTCCATGCACTGTTCTGAACAGCTGACATAGAGTAACTCTGTTAATCCACTCGCAGCCTTATGAGGTAGATACTATTATTATCCCTATTTTAGAGATTAGGAAACTGACACACAGAGGAGTTAAGTAACTAGCCCAGAATCATGCAGCTGATTAGTGGCAGAGTAGGGATTTGAAACCAGTCTGCCTGCCTCCAGAATCCGTGTTCTTAACCTCTGCTGCTGCACAGCCTCTCAGTGTTTTGCATGCTTTTGGCCACTGTGGCTGTCTTGGCATCCAGTGTGACCCTTTCTGTCCATGTTCATCCTTTCTTTGATATCCAGCATCCTCAGACACAGAAGCTTAAGTTGCTAGATATTTGTTCACAGGTTAAGGAATCTCTTTAATTAATTGGTGGGTTGTAAACAAATCCAAATCTACACTAAGTAGCTAAGGTAAGAAAGCAAGCCCATGGAGAGGCTGGTGTTCTTTATAACTGGTCTTAATTCTGAGATCAGTCATCAGACAACCCGGAGAAGTGCCACCTGGAGATTGGGCCTTCCTGGCATGAGGCAGTGGGTTAAGTGTCTAACAGAGGTAAGTGGAAGTGCTAGAAAGACCATGAGTCAGTGGATTCTCCTCTAGGTTGGTGGGATGGGCCGGGAATAAGAACCTACAAAGGAGAGGTAACATGATGGGATTCTTTTCTTTGATGAAGCCATTTTGCAAGAGGTACTAAAGTTACATACTTCCTGACCTTTTTAGACCTGATCCTATTCTTTTTCTAGGCCAGAGAAATCTAACATTTGCATTTTCTATTTTTTTGTTCAGGTACTGAAACCAAGAACCTACAGTTACTGGTTCCAAAAACTGAGATATGTGATGAAGCTGAAAAACCCCTCATAATATCAGGAAGAATCCAGAAAGCTGACCCTCAAGGACCTGAATTAGGAGAAACCTGTGAAAAAGGAAACATGTTACAGAGACAGAGAATAAAGAAGGAAAAGAAAGATTTCAGACAAGTGACAGTGAATGACTGTCACTTACCTGAAAACTTCAAAGAAGAGGAAGACCAGAAATGTAAGAAATCTGGGGGAAAGTATAGCCTTAATTCTGGCACTGTTAAAAATCAGAAAATACAGCCTGGGCAAAAGCCTTTTACATGTAGTGTGTGTGGGAAAGGCTTTAGTCAGAGTGCAAACCTTGTTGTGCATCAGCGAATCCACACTGGGGAGAAACCCTTTGAATGTCACGAGTGTGGGAAGGCCTTCATTCAGAGTGCAAACCTCGTTGTACATCAGAGAATCCACACTGGACAGAAACCTTATGTTTGCTCAAAATGTGGGAAAGCCTTCACTCAGAGTTCAAATCTGACTGTACATCAAAAAATCCACTCCCTAGAAAAAACTTTCAAGTGCAGTGAATGTGAGAAAGCCTTTAGTTATAGCTCACAACTCGCTCGGCACCAGAAAGTCCACATTACGGAAAAATGCTATGAATGTAATGAGTGTGGGAAGACATTTACTCGGAGCTCAAACCTCATTGTCCACCAGAGGATCCACACTGGGGAGAAGCCCTTTGCCTGTAACGATTGTGGCAAAGCCTTTACCCAGAGTGCAAATCTTATTGTACATCAGCGAAGCCATACTGGTGAGAAGCCATATGAGTGTAAAGAGTGTGGGAAAGCCTTTAGTTGTTTTTCACACCTTATAGTGCACCAGCGAATTCACACTGCAGAGAAACCTTACGACTGCAGTGAATGTGGGAAAGCCTTCAGTCAGCTCTCTTGCCTTATTGTCCACCAGAGAATTCACAGTGGAGATCTTCCTTATGTGTGTAATGAGTGTGGGAAGGCCTTCACATGTAGCTCATACCTACTTATTCATCAGAGAATCCATAATGGGGAAAAACCTTACACGTGTAATGAGTGTGGCAAGGCCTTCAGGCAGCGGTCGAGCCTCACTGTGCACCAGAGAACCCACACCGGGGAGAAGCCCTACGAGTGTGAGAAGTGTGGTGCAGCTTTCATTTCTAACTCACACCTCATGCGACACCACAGAACCCATCTTGTTGAGTAGCAAGTAAAGGAAAAGGAAGACCTCCAGTGTTGGTCATGACTTATTGTCCCCCAAATTAGACACCTCTTTGCTGTTTTCTTCCTTTGGGAAAACAAGGCCTATGTCCTTAAAAGTTCCAGTTTTCAGAAATACAGCACAAAACACAAGACAAGCATTTCAAAGGCTAATTTAAAGAAAATGAAAACTAAGCACCTAAAGGCAAGGACTTTGTTTTACCTGTATCCTCAGCAGTATGTTTTCTGAAATGGAATGTGGCTTTCTTAGGAGTGAGTTATAAAAAGCTAAGTGATAAAGATACTATTTGAGGAAAGTTCTATTTTGCTTAATTTTGTTTTTTAAAACTCTGGTAATTGCTTGAGCAACAGGCAGGTTATCTGCCTGGTTGAATTCTGGAGCTTTGAACCCTGTCTTTTAGTATTTTGGTAACTAGTTAAGGAAACCACTTGGGGTAGCAATTCAATGACAACTTGCCTATGAACATTAATAAATTGCTTTCCCTTCCCTAGAAATTTTTAAAAAGCCAATGAAAACAAAAAAACAATTAACTGTCTACTGCTCCTAAAATGGACAGAAATAGGAAATGGCCTTTTTCCTTATTGTCTATACCTCCTGAACCTTGGTATTGTAAAGCCCCGGGGACCTCTGATGAGTCTGTTCTGACCATTCCCTAGCCTGCATGGCCAAGCACTCAAGGATTGATGGAGACACCACACACCAGCTATATTGATTTGCTAAGATTGACAACTCTCCAAACAACTCAACCCCCTAATTCCTATAACATTCCATTTGGGTGAGATGCAACTAACAGCCCTTTCCTGGATAGAGGAGTCAAAGAATAAAGCTTGCCTAGAGGCATGCCCAAGTTGTCTCTGCTCTCATTCTGCTCAAGCCCAGCCAGGGGTCTCAGTTTGGGTGTCATTCTCAAATTCTGCATGGTATTTAGTAGAAAAAGGGGAGCTCTTCTAATTTTGAGAGGACCAAAGAGGGAAATGAAAGGAGAGGGAGGAGGTGGAATGGGATTCCTAAGGTCTTAATTTGGTTTTTTGAGAAGTTCAGAGGTACAGGAATATGAAAACTTTTAGAACAATGAAGACACTGGCTAAGGTAAGATATCTTTGTTACCATTGAGCCTTTACTCCTGCAAAAATGATTTATAAAACTATGCAATAGGCCGGGCGCGGTGGCTCACGCCTGTAATCCTAGCTCTCTGGGAGGCCGAGGTGGGCGGATTGTTTGAGTTCAGGAGTTCGAAACCAGCCTGAGCAAGAGCGAGACTCCGTCTCTACTAAAAATAGAAAGAAATTGATCGGACAACTAAAAATATATAGAAAAAATTAGCCGGGCATGGTGGCGCATGTCTGTAGTCCCAGCTACTCGGGAGGCTGAGGCAGTAGGATTGCTTGAGCCCAAGAGTTTGAGGTTGCTGTGAGCTAGGCTGACGCCACGGCACTCTACTCCAGGCAATGGAGTGAGACTCTTGTCTCAAAAAAAAAAAAAACTATGCAATAGGAAGAGATATGTAATAATATTGCCTTGTTATTTATATAGAGCTTTTATTCTTTGTTGCATACCATCATGTATCAGATCATGATACCTGGCACTTACCTTATGCTTTCACATAGGTCATTACCTTGATCCTTATGACACTGAAAGAGGTGTTTGCCCATTTACCTGAGAGTGGTCATTTAGCACAAGGCCAGGTAACAAGTGACAGAGCTTATATCCAAATCCAGGACCTAAATCCAGGTTCTTTTTGTGCTGCCGTGCTATTCACCTACCTACCTGTAATCCCCACCCAGACTTGGGGGAGCCTGAGAAAGGGGTATGTAGTTCCATTTTCAGATGAGGAAGCTGAGGTGACAGATTTTGAGGTGTGCCTTAGGCATGGTGACCAGAAAGCAGCAAACCTAAGACTGGAATTTGGGTCTCCTGATTTCTGGGTCTATCCCTCCACCCCATTTCTATGCCTCTGAGCAAGCAAGAGCGTTTATCGTAAAAGCTGACCCTGGTGATAAGAGACTGGTGTAACTCTCGTGAAGAAGTCCCATGTTTTTATTCCATTTCTGTAAGACTACATATTGATCACAATGTTTTCTAGTTTACAGAGCACTTTCACTTACAGAAGGCATACACAAGAAAGATTATTAATTTTCCTCTTTTCCCCCTTTAGCCAGTCTATTGTCAAAGCATATGCAGCTTCTTTTCCTGGTTTCACTCTAAATCATAGGCACACAAATACAGGAAATCAGAAGGGTTCCAAAGTAGGATCAAATACTCGTGCCCTCACTGACCC